CTGCTACGGACACTGCCACCGTCAGCCACTGTCACCTGCTGAAACCACAGAACAGGGGGCATGAACACAACCCTCAAATCCACGAGCACGAGGGCTGCACATGCTCTAAAAAGGTGGATTGGAGGAGGGGCCATGCTAAACAGTTCCTGGAACATGGAAACTAGCGCAGGGAAGTGTTTGAATATGTATAATTGTTTATGAATAGGTGTTTGACTGATGCAGCAGACAGGGTATGTAAGGGGTGTTGCCATGCTGAGCAGAGGGGCTTTTTGGCTAAAGCCACATTAGCTTTATTGCCTTTGTCCCCTATTGTCCCTTATTAAATTTTTCAAATTCTAACAGAAGAATGAGCTTCGTTTCTCACACATATAAAAAATGCAAGAACACTCCTGGTTTGGGGCAAAGCAGAAAAAATATCCTTTAGAACTGGAAGCTAGGAAGGGAATCAAGACTGTAACTGAGAATTTAAGGGAATTTGGATTGCTGAACACTCAATTTCGGCAGTTGAAAGGCTGGGACGGACAGGTAAGGTCAATACAAGACCCATGAGCAAGGGATGAAATAGCCCAGGACATCCACCCGGCTGGAGCCAACCCCTGTGCCCCGTTAGCTGCCCTGACAGAATGTCACCAAGGGCTCATGGGGACAGATCTGAAGGACGCCTTCTTTTGCAAACCTCTCAATAAACAATTCTGCCTTTGAGTGGGAAAATCCCTGAGCTGGCTGGAAGACTCAGCTTTCCTGGGCTGTGTTACTTCAAGGCTTTAAAAACTGCCCAATGGTTTTGGGAACCAAGTGGCAAAGGAATTGGAGGGCTGGAAGAAGGAGAACCCCAAAGGGTTGGTCCTGCAGCGTGTGGGTGACACCGTGTGTGCAGCTGAAACAAATGAGCAGTGCGTGGGGTTCTCCATCAGCCTTCTCAACCTCCTGCGCCAAGGAGGCTGCAGAGCATCCTGGGAAAGGCTCTAATGAGGCAGCAGAGTCTGAAATCATTCCACGGCAGCGGAGATTGGGAGGATCCCAGAAGGACCTTTGGTTTGGATGCCCAAGGGTGGACACGCGTGCTGGGACTCAGAGCTGGCCCTGATGTCTGCGCCTTCCATGGGATTCCAGACTTAACAAAGCCCTCTGAGCGTTCTGTGTACCAGCGAGAGCACTGAGCCCTCAAGGCCCAGAAGGAAGGGGAGACTTCAGAAGACCCCGAGACGGGCACTGAAATAGCAGACTGTTCTGATGGGGCGAGGAGCTGTGCAGGGGAAAGGAACCTGAGCTTTAAATCCAGCCCCATTCCCCAACACCCCGATGGTGGGGGAAGAGCAGCTGAGCCCTGGCTGTTCACAGAACACTGGGAAAGT